CATAATGAATACTATAAAAGGATTATGAAAAAAAGGAAAAACATTGGGATTTTTGGGATCCTGGACAAGCCCCCAAAAGTTTAATTTACTAAGTTTTTGATGTGATGACTTAAGACGGGCAACAAATTAAACTCCTAAGTAGTCTAAAACCCTTCTGGCTGCTGCAAACCAACTATCTTGTGACTAGGCCTGCACACCTTGTGGCTCTTGATAACTTTATTATGAAGATAAAATGTAGTGTTGCTGTGACAAATATGTAAAGTAGAGCTTCACAATGTAACAAATAATTGTTGCAGAATTCATGTTTGTAATTTTGCAGTCGCAAAGAACTGTTCGGATGCAGCGCTTGGTAGAATAATATATTTTAAAATGCATGCATACAACGTCAAGAGCCCAGTTATAATTAAGCTCACAAAAAGTGTTGGGGAGTTTGTGGTCAAGAAAAAGAAAAAATTAAAAATTGTAGCTCAACTGTTATTAATGTTGTCATTGCAAAATTCTGCGTTAGTATCCCAGTTACATGTATTACTTCAACCATGTCAAAAAAATAATATGCAAGTCATAGTAACAATAATAACAATATCAATGGAAATATATAAATAATAAAAATGCCTCCTAAACAAGGACAATGAAAGTGACCTGGTGGACTCCGTCACTTGCAGTGTAGACGGAGCGCAGCTGCTTGAGGTGGTCTCTCATGTGGCTCAAACCTCGGAGGGTCTCAAACATCTTCCCAACTGCAGAATGGGCTCTTTCTGTGGTCAGTTCCTCTGCGGCTGCACAACCTAAAGCACAAAACAAGATATCAGGCTTTATTCTAAACGTATTCAGAGTTTTAGATGAAAAAACAATAGCCTGCATCAAAAGTTAATGTGAGTCAGACTCACTTCATGCTGCTTAAAAGTGGCCAGAGGGAGAAAAAAAAAAATATTTTTTTGACAAAACATCAGGATTTGGAGAAACAAGAGGCCACATTATGCAACACTATGCCTTTTGTGGGCCATTTCCTCAGCTGGGTGTGCACTGAAACCAATTACCAAGGTAAATACACGGACGTTTGAGGACAAGGGCTCCTTTATTTCCGCTGCCATATAATTGAATGGTAATGTTCCCATTTTTCTAAAGAAGTGGACAGATAAGAGAAGATTGTGAAATTAGCCAGAAAAAGACAGTGGCGATGTTAAGAGAGAAGATGGGGTAATAGAAAGCAGAGGGAGGCACAAGAAAAAAAACAGACAGACGGCGAGACAGACAGGGAACATGAGGACAGAAAGATGAAAAGCCAGGGAGAGAAGGACGTCCTCCTCCAACACATGGGTGTCCAAAAAAAAAAAAAAAAAAAAAAAAAGGGGAAGGAAAAGTGGTCTCGTTTTTTTTTTTTATTCAAAAAAAAC